CGAACACACAAAGGAATGGTCATTTGGGTAGTTCAAAAATTCATAGAGATTAAAGAAATTATTGGCTAATGAGACCTTCGTTCCCTCTTTACAATGATTCAAAATAGCATGAAAATTCCAATTTATATTAGGTTTTAAATTATTATGTACTGTACTTGATCATCTTCAGATACCGTGTGGTCTACACATCGTTATTTCGATATGATTGAGTTATACCAATCAGTTTATAAACAATGCTTACCGAGAAGAGAAAAAATCCATTTCCCGAAGTTACGCTCATCATATGCCTACCACGGTCATTTGCAGTGATCACCGAGAACATATTTCTGGTCAGAAAGTATTTATACAGTCTACCATTGAGTTTGTACAATAAGTATTGTTTGAAGCATCCCTATAAGGTGTGACATAAATAAAACTGATAGCGCATTACAAATACCAACCAGTTGGTCTCAGTTCAATGACATTGCTCCGAAATATCATTATCTCTTCTCTGCATTCTGTCCATCCGCCTGTTTCAAAGTACTATGCGAGTATGTTCTCACCATGCGTTCAAGTGAACTATACTTATTGATCGGTGTAGTGTATCGTCCTGCTTCGTCAGGATATTCATCAAATGAAACTTCTGTGCAAAAAATATCTTATTTCTTATCACTGAATTTCACCCACGTTCTAAGCATGGGTGACTTCAACTGTCAAAAGCTGAGCAACAGGACGACTTCATGTACGCCGTTTGAACAACAATTTAGGCAGTTCATGCGGTCACATACGTTGTACAATCACGTAAAGGAATCCACCAGGTTTGGAAACCTGCGGTCACCATCCATACTGGATTTAGTGTTGACCAACGAGGAGCTGATGATAGAATCAGTCAATGTGACTCCCCCCCCCATAGAACGCAGCGATCAGCAGTGTTTACATTCAAATATGTTTGTTACGCTTCTATTCACGGAAGTTTCTGGGTAACACACGCAGATCCATAGACTATCTGCTGTTGAAAAACTTGGCATTCTATACTCAGTGACTTTCCTATGAGGAAGAACCCAATCTGTCGGCCGTCTGGCAGAAATTTATTGGCAGTCTTAGAAAATTAATTGCATCAGTGACTAAGATTGGAGTAATCAACAAATCCAGCATCCGAAATTCAACTGTTCGCAGCCACACGATGAAATGAATATCTTCGAGGGATCTGTCCGGGCAAGGTTATAAACGTTTTCGGAATGTTTTCATGTGGAAGAATTATCGTATGCTGAAAAACCACTGCACAAGGCTGATTCGTGAGGATAAAATGGCGCTAGCACAGAGATTCATTTCTAACCCTAAGCTGTTGTACAAGCACGTTAACTCCATTCGGCAAGTAAAGTTTGGCATACCGGCACCAAGCAGCGCTGGAAGAGTTGCAGCCACTGCAAGAGAAGTAGCTGAAATGCTGAAAACTCAGTATTCCAACGTTTTCGCAGCACCACAGGTTGGATGTCTACGGCTACCTCCCCGGTTGCATCATATTCCATATCCGTCACTGACCTACGTATCATTTACTGCTGAAAACGTCGAAGGAAACCTAGTGGCTTGGCAAAAAATGTAACGGACAATCTACACTCGAAATCCCTGATCTTTTTGGTGAATCACATTTCCGAACCGCTAGCCAGTCTGTTCCAGCGAATGTTCGATCAAGCAATACTCCCAGAATCTTGGAAATAAGGAGCTATTTCGCCCATATACAAAGATGGTTGTTGCTGTAACCCTACCAACTACCGACCTGTAACCCTGCTTCCGATGTTATCGAAAGTCATGCAGTCAATTGTGGCGGGTTCTCTGATGGAACACCTCGAACTATGCAACATTCTTTCGACAGCTCAACATGAGTTCAGGCAAAAGCGATCCTGTTACACCAACCTGATTCTTGTTCGAGATGAATGGACAAGAATAGTCGACGAAGGGGATGCGGTGGACGGGATTTATCTCGACTTCTCGAAAGCATTTTATCCGGTAAACCATGGAATCTTGTTACAGAAGCTCTACAATTGCGGCATTCGAGATTTCGTGTTTGATTGGATTAGAGTATTCCTCCAACAATGGACTATATCAATTAGTGTTTCTGATTCCATATCCGGATTTATCAGTGCCAACCGTGGTGTTCCACAAGGGTCCGTACTTGGCCTCAGTCTGTTTCACGCAATCATAAGTGATCTACCAAAATTGTTGGGTCCAAAACAATACTGTTTGCGAACGACACCAAAATCTGGAATACGGTAACAGAACCAAAATACTCTCTAACACTTTAAGAATCACTTAACGCAGCTTATCAATGGTCCAAGGAGAACGAGATTGAATTCCATGTTTCTAAATGCCAAGTCCTATCCCTACACCACAAGAGATTCTCGTATTTCCTCGTAAATGAGCAGTTATCACACACTGCAAGTGAAAAAGACTTGAGTGTTGTTGTTCAAGAGAATTTAAGCTGCTCGATCAACTGCGCTAAGGATTCGTTCGCTGCTGTAAAGAATGTAGGCTTACTTGGCCAAATCTTTGGTCGATTTGAATCAGCACTGTTCCCAAGTTTACATGCGACCGTACACAGAGTACGCCAACCAAGCTTGAAGCCCATGGTCGCAACGTCATCGCAAGATGCTTGTTCGCTCACAAAAGATGGCCACTAAGATGGTCAAGGGATTGCAGTCCCTCCCCCTACGAGGAGAGATTATGATCATTAGGACTATATTCTGCTCAGTACCGTCGAATTTGGGGAGATTGGCTTTTGCTGTATCAAATACTGCAGAACCCAAACCATCCGTGTCGGCCGCTGCTCACGTGGTCGAACAATGCACACCTTAGGGGACATCGTTTCAAGTTATTGATTCCAACGTGTCGACGGGAATGCCGACCCCAGTCTTTTGCAGTCAGAGTATGCAGTACTGGGAACACCCTTCAGTTTCACGTCGTTTATGCATCAAATATTGAATCTTCCAAGCGGAGACTCCATGAAACCTTCATACACCTCACATTAATATAACACTAAAGGATACACAAATTCACTGAAGCTTACATTCTCTATGATCTCCTTCCTGGAACTTTATATGAGTTTTTTCGCTGTGAAATGATTCAGTTGTGTATATGTCCCATGGGGGACAAGAGAATCATGAGCTTGTAAATAACTCCCGTAAGAAAACTTTGACTTTGACATGTCAATATACTCCTTTAGACACCAGTCTTCCGGAGTTATCAGTTGTGTCTAGATGAATGACGAATTCAAGTCGGAGAGTTTGACAAATAAGTAACCACGAATCGGTGATGAAGGTTGGGACTGAGTACTGGGACGTTGTCATGCTGAACAGGTGATATCTTGGTTGTGCCCAGTATAAAGGCGAACCGTGATGTGCTTCTGTCGAGTTTGATAGTACCGTCTTTGGTTGTAACCACCTGTAGAAGACATATTCCAGGCTATCACCTAAATGCAGCTGTTATGTTATCTGTTGAATATAATCGCCTTATAGTATTTTTTTACGTCAGAAGTAATGAAAATTATCCTGATTTATCCATGTAAAATTCCTCATTTCATGAAATGTCCTTTCTAATCTCAGTGGTGGTTGTAATTGGTGGTGGTGTTGAAGTGACGAAGGTTATCCAACTAGTGACCCGGAAGTCCCGGGTTCAAACCACTCCATCGCTGCCCGTCCTAACCATTTCTGCATTTCCCAGGCACCAGTTTTATGGTCACTAGCCTCTTCCTGACAGTTGACTATACATTTCTATATTCAGTAAATAAAATAGAAATCCAAAGAGATAGTGACGTCTTTTCATCTATGATTTATTCCCATTGTACTGGCATTGTTTCTACTTATGTATGCAGACCGGATAATTTGATTGCTTGTTCTTTCAACTAAATCTCTCGGACTACCATGTTTCAGACAAGCTTGGGAAACCAGTATTCATTGGTTAATGTTGCTTCACTGTTCTCGATGTTCCTGCGGGACGAACAGTGCGCTTGCTGTCGAGGTGCGACTACCGGAGTAATAGTGTCACTATTTTTCCCATTTGTCACAGGAGGTCATTGTGAAAACCAGTAAACATGAGCGGTTAACACGTATACCGGCCAGTGATATTCGGTGTGTAGAACAAAATCAACCACTGAGAGATTGAAACACACGCAATGCAAATATGAACTATTCCTCAACACCAACATGAAACATCACCCAGACATATGGAAAAAAAAAACATTTTAGAACGGATTTATCCCCTTTTTTGGGCACTGTCTAACTGTCCTTCTACTTCTTTTACAGTTTATTTTGACAAAGATAGCAACAAAATTAACCACCTCATCAATGTGCGGAATTTCGTGCGGTTGCGTTAAGAAATTGGTTTTGGAATTTGCTTCATCAGAAGTTGATTTTTGCCGTGTAGAATATAAACAATTTTGGAATTTGCTGAATAACGTATTATTCCCCTCGTTACCAATTAGATGCCCCATATTTGGCTTTCGGTACCAAAATCCGTTCGGTTCAGTCGAAATTTAGTAATCAAAAAATATTTCTTCACATCCTCTCAAATCTTATATCTTTTTTAATACAACTGAACTGTTTGTGCTAACCGAAAACCCTAGACAGCTGCTTGGAACACTTCAGGAATGCTTACTTTTTGTGTCCCTGTCATGACTCGAATAGCGGACCTTCGGGTTGGGACCGCAAATCCATATCCCTGAGCTTCACGTTCGACGGTCACCGCATTTTGCGAATGGCTCAATCAATTTAGACGGTGAATGTTTGGATTAACGATCGCTTAAGGAGTGAAACTCACATCCAAGATCATCAACAGTGCCTAATGCCTGTGAAAACCGAATGGGCAGATCCAAACACTCACTGCCTAAATGATGATCAAATTATCATAATTATTCATTAGCAATATTTAGATACTAATTATTCCTTACGTTGTGTGACCTCATAGAACCGTCCTCCTTCATTTAGTATACCCTCTCATACACCACTGTTGATTTCGGCTCATTCCAGTTCAAGCGCACGCGGAGTTGTGCTACGCGGAAGGGCTACTTCAGTTGGCATTTTTGAGCATGCTCCAAGATGAAAAACTCACAAGCTTGATCCGATCGTCACTAAAAATACGACAGTGCTACAAATGTTATCGGTAAGTTCACGCAGTATTTACTACCCTTGTGCTCGTTATTTTGATAATGGAAACATGAACTGCCTGCTCTCTGCTTCAGGAGCTGTTGAACTCTAAATAAATTTACAGATTTGTTAGCAAACCTGGATTAACTCCACCGTGAAGAGAGGATTCACTCACTACTACTACTGTCAAACTTCTAGCGGACGGTACTGGCAGACAGCAGACACTAATGCCAACAAGGTTCGAGATATGGTTAAAATTTCATTTATAGAACAAAATATCTCATTTGAAACAAGGTTGCAAACTTCCCACACGCACACAGGATAGTTGATGGAACGATTCACTATCAGATGCGCATTCTTGTATTCACCATACGGAACTTCAACAGTTTGCTCCAACAGGTCTTGTTGATTTTTGTTTGGTGAAAGTAACTGCTGATCGTATCCTTTTGCGTACTACTCACATATGAGTAGTATCTCACAACACTACCACTAGCAGGTGCTACTCACATTTGTGAGTAGTCCGATGCCGTTCTCCAACAAATTAACTCTCCGCGTCCCGGCATTGTGGTGAATATTGAACGCTACTGCTAGTGCTACTCGTTGTGAAGCAGAGAAAAATAGAGAGTACGCAAAATTTGATAAGTGATGTTCTGCGTTTGTTTCCCAGTTACCGTGCTTCTTACGATTGATGTAGAACATTGAAGCATAACAAGCGTAAAGCTTTTTCAATTTTTCATTGAATAATCCTTGTTTATGAAGCATTCGAATGATCAGATTTTATGAACTGATCCCTAAATTTTACCATGGATTCAATCCAAGATCCCCGATTATATCCTGATATTGGTATTTTCCATTATCGATTAGAATAACAATTTTCTCACAATCATCTGAATTTGATGATAAAATAACTCGCACCCCTGATTTCAGGACCAGCGTTGATCTATCACAATTTTAGGCGTAGAGGGAGGTAAACAAAGGATAGTGAAGTGACGTCAACGATATATATTAATAAGCCAACAATTACAAAACGCTGATATACTACCCACCATCTGTCTCCCCCTAGGTAGAAACAAATTTTATCTTCGCCAAAAAACATTAATCTAATAGTAGGGGTCAGTTCACACATTAAAGATAGGGATACGCGTGAATTTTCTTCGACAGGATTGAAGTGCAGCAATACCTTAATTATCGGAAATGAGAAAAGTTCGGTATCTGCGGTGGGATTCGAATCTAGGCATGGATACCACCTACGCTTTTAACAGCACACCGTCAATCAGCTGAGCCACGAGACTACACCGATAACACTGATCTTTATATATTCAAAACACCCATTGAACTTATACAAGTATATGGAATCAACCAGGTATGTGAAATCCGAGCCAATAAAAATAAACTAAGCATAAATATACATACGATTTTAAGCGGCTACTTCGGTTAATCTACATGTAGTTTTGGCGTCCTAATCGTCAGAAATTGAACCCGTAATTTTTGTATTACTAATGAAAGATAGGATTTTAACAGATACCATGCTACTGTCAAACGATGCGATCGTAAGAGCAAAACAAGCGGTTCAAAAGGTTGTTTTTAGACTTTCCTTGATCGATTTTCGTGGCACCAGTTGTTTTATTTTATCAAGGCTCTATAATCGGAGTATATTTTGTGTTTCAATTCGCTACTCTCGATTTTCCAGACGGCCAACTACCACTCAGTCGACGGCGTAACTAGGATCCCCTCATTTCATGAATTCATTTTTAGCGCTAGACTTTAAATCGTTCTGCTGTTTGGCTACCCGATGTGAAGCGAATATCAATAAACGAATCTCCTTGTCGCATACTTCTGTTGTACAGAAAAAATGCTAAGCAGAATTGGGCCAATCTTGGCGTTAGATGAATGGTTTCTCACTGTTTCACCTGACCAAAAACATCAGACTTCGGTTCGTTCACCAGAGAGTTTACAATATTTACGAAAAGGAGACCGGGTTCTATGCAGTTGGAAGCAGTCTCTACAATTTCAACAACTAGCGTACACCCAATCTTGTCTAATCAGTCTTAATTGGAGTATCAGGAATTGTCTTGATCTACCAGGTTTCACCTTCATATATATCGGGATTTTGACCTCAGAGATAACATTTTTTTCCTGCAAGCCAATCATTGATTTTTGCGAAACGAGATTTCAAAATTTATAAGATAACCTTTGTATGATGATTACGAGATTGTTTACTTAATCAGCCAGAATAATTCAAACAAATCACTTGGGATTAACCTAAAGAATCCCGTGAAAACATACATTCTGTTATTTCAATAGTACTCAAGGTTTTTCAGTCGATAAAATGACTTAATTATCACTTTTGGTGGGCTCAGAAGGTATACTTTCAGGAGTTCAGATTTGAACATGAATAATTGGTAATAATATACTACTATTATTACATTGACGTTGTCGAATACATTGACAATAGAGCATCGTTGACAAAAGGTTGAGTTCATTAGTCAGAATGCAATACACAGGTGAAAATCGATAACGGTTTCCCGAAATGGTTTTATTCGTACTTCAGTTTTTGTTCAAAGTGGAAATCCATTTTGAACTGATTTAATCTCATGCCTTTGTGCAGCGACACAATCTTTTCAACCACGTTAATATACACATTTGAATTTTAATTCCAATATGCGGTTGCAGGCTAATTGGGTTGTTATAACAGAGGACGAGAATGGTTTAAGCAGGCCGATTTTATACTAGATATTTCATTCGTACTCACAAACCTATACACCTTTTCTGTTTGACAGTATTTGCTGGCGGATACTGAAACATCGGGAATGGAGCGACGGCCTAAGCAAATCAACTTTTGAGAGTGGAGTCCGTCTTGGTGTGGGTGCTTTTAATATGGTGAGTCTTACCTTACACGATGCATGAATTCACTGGGAAGTTCGATCTTGTTCAAAGGCGTTAGGAATGAACGGACGAAGATGAACTATAGCACTGAATTCTCAACAAGCGTAAATGCCCTCAGTAAGAAGATCATCATAAAATTGTATCCCGTAAAACCGGGGTATTCCCGGACAACCTTTATGTGATTGTTCACTGTTCATTGTCTGATACTGTTTCAGTAAATGTTATCTACGAAACGTATCTGATGTTTTCCTCGAAGTTGTACCTTCGTTGTGGATTTCTTGAACACCATGTTCCCTTCATCGTTATCTGTCGCTACGTGAGAAAGTACTTCAAGTGTGATTTGACTCGGATTCCTTCCGTAAAATGTAGTTTTAATAATGGTATTCTGCAAGTGTGTACAGCATAGAGTTGATATCAACAGGGATATGCCGCTCATTGCCCTAAATTACAAACTCAATATCTACTAGAAGCGTCAATACTTTCGTTTTAAAGAGCAACAGAAGATGAGGTCAATCTCATGGTTGGATGAGAAACATAACCTGTTCGTAAGTAGGTGGAAGTTTGCCATAGCATCACACCGTACTACCGAGTACGTCACACTAAAAGTAGGTTGTACGGGGGACCTGGCTATCCAGAGCAGTGCGCATTGAGTGAGGCCAGTTTTATGTACTGATTATGGCCTAGGCCTCAATTGTATGACACATGCGAAGCGATCACTCACAATCCATGGGATTGGACGCCTTAACAATATCCCCGGGTGAAATACAGGCCAAGGCAATCGTGAATAGCGATATATGAGGTATCAAAGAGGTCAATGAAAATCAAGTGATAGAATATGAAATAAACGTGTGCATAAATAATTTCTCACATATAAATGCGGTGGAAATGTTTGTGATAACGGACAAAGAGCACTGGACAGTTGTTTCGTCCTGGTTCGGATTCGTCAGCAGTGAGTACGTTTTGCATCTCTGTCGGAACTCGATCCCCGTGAACCTTCGGGTTGGGACTTCAAACCCTCACCTCTGGAATTATCCAAACAATCTCCTTCCTTATTGATTGAGCCATTCGCACAAATTGATAACCGTCGACCGTGTAGCTCAGGGGTACGGGTTTGAAGTCCCAAACTGAAAGCTCGCGGTGCGAGTCTTCACAGGGACAAAGGGACTTGTCAGGCTTTGGAACAGTGTCCAATTTACTGTTTCGGTTAATAAGGGGAACCAGGACGACGGAAATTATTATCTGATAGAGGGTATTAGATCATAGTTACACAGCCCATGTTTCTTGGTCATTCCGTGTCATTCATCTGGCGAATTTAAGTCACTGTCATGTGTGCAACCGGAAATAACGTAGTTCAAATATTGTCAACCTTCATCTGAAATCAACCGCAGTTCTTATGAGATTGCTTTCAGATGTCTATGGATCCGAATAACTGTTCATATGAAAGCCATCGTAGAGACGTTTGAAACTATGTGGGCAGAATTAATTATGGCCATCAATTTTGCGCGGTCTCATTCAGCTGTAAACACACAACTATATGGTCATGTAAAATGAAGAAATATAAGAGTTTATATGAGTCACTTGAACGAGGTGGTGGACAAGTGAGTTGCGTGATTTGTGTTTGATTCGGGGTTGAGGTCACGTTGGATGACAAAATTTTATATGGAGGTGAACTGAAGTCTTATGGACCGGAGTTTCAACCACATACCAGGACAACGATTACCATTCTCAGCCAAGGCCTTTTGTTGTGACATCAACCTTGGCCACAATGCTTTGGTTTGAGTGGAGTGGAGGTCTATTTGCTTGAATTAGTTAATCATCCATCTTTTTTACGACTGAGATTCCGAATCGTGTCGAACCACCAACCTGAAAGAATAGGAGCCTCCAGATTTTCCGACCTCTTCCTCCTTTGACCTTCCAGGTGCAGTTAGATCTTCGGGTTAACAAAAACAATCCTGAGTAACTCGTTGGGGCACGGAAGGGCATAAACAATCACACCACGTCAGGGCACACACTCTGATCGTGATGCAACGTTGTCCTGAACATTCGTGAGGTCTCTGATTTGACTCATGGACAAATTGGGAACAATGTTCTTTAACTGAAATTGGTAACTGTCTCAGGTCTTTCTGTTACGAATCTGTGATAGAAGACGTAAAAGGAAAATAATAAACCTCACCTTATGATTGTGGAATGGAATGCAAGGAGTATCATTCAAAAGTGCATTAATCGACTATGACCATGCAATTAACCAGGGTGAAGTTTATGCAGCCCCAGATAAATTGTATTACCTAGATGATATGCTTATATCACAAGGTTTATAATTCATCAAGGGTGTGTTCCTGGACGATCGTACATGCTTGTTCAGAGGTAATTCAATGCACAACTGATCAGAAATAGAGGAATAAGGCTCACACTGAAAGGGTTGGTGGATGATACCCTTGGGAAGCTGATCGGATTTCGGCTATGCGCAGCACAATGTCACCATCTAACTTTGCAAGCATTTGGCGAGAAAGCTACATGTCTTTTGTGCATCTCACCAATCGTTAAGCTTCCATTGATGACATTACTAAGCTTTGAAGTCCCTGGTTCTGTTGTTCCTTAGTTTAATCGGTGGATTTTATGGAATGTAACACCGTTAAAACAGTTGCACAGAAACCATCATCTTCACGTTTCTAAGCTTGTAATCTGTGACGCTACCAGATAAACCCTAGTTCCGTACACGGTCATTTTTGTGTGTTCGTGGTTGTATCTAAAACATGTACATACAGAAGAATAAGCGTGATTTATCGTCTACCGCGATACTTTTGCACACACTGATCACGCAACAGACCTTCTCAGCGCATATGGTCCCGTGTGAGGGACATATGCTTGGAGAATTTTACAGCTTCCTTGTGAATCATTCTAAACGGATCGGTTGTGAATATTTCTCCACCTAGTAAGAATATCCATACCCTATGGGCACTTCCCTCTCCTGTTCGGCCTTCCGATTACTACCACGTGGAAGGCTGAACGGTGGCACATTTTTCATTTCTCAGCTGCTTCTGACCAATACCGCTTCAGATTCATCAAGAACAGGTTCCGTGGTCATGTGATTCAGCCACTAATTCCGCCTGTTTTTTTGTGAAACACATTTTGATAGTTCGACCCGGTGGCTTTCAACACATCTGTTTTTGTTTTATCTTTTCTTAAATGCAACCCAAAACGTAAGCGCTCGATGCGATTTCGACTAACTGCCTAGCTCAATTACTATCTTCTGTTGTTTCCTTCGCTCTTGGAATGATCTATTGGAGGAATCGTGTTCACTGGGCCTAATAAAATTCCACGTGATCCACGGAACACGTGAAAATAGTTTATCAAATCATCATATGATCATTGCTCATCGTACTTTTCATTTGGCTCCCCTCTTTCGTTTCACTTTGATACGGGTGACTTTTATCTAGTGAACTTCTCGATCAAATCAAATCCGATATCTGGTAGATTAGATTCCAACAATAATTTGGATCAAAAATATCTCCCTCCCTAATTGACAACCAAGTCCTTTGGTTCAAAATCCATCGGGCCTATAGATCACTGTGTGACTGTATGACAGAGTTAACAGAAAGAAACGCGTTTTTTGCTAATCGATTCTATTGAAAGTAAAGATGACCTCTGAAGCAATTCCACTCCGCTTATTTTCATCATACCCCCAATATTGATGAATCATTTTCATAACATCTTAGGTGTTGGACGAAATCTCGTTAGGATACAATGATAAATACAAACACCACAAATAGCGCATATTTTAGGAATGTCGAAACAAAAGGCACATACAAGATTGATAAGGGTTACGAAGGGATTAAATAACCATAGCATTCAAGTAATGTTTGATTTATACAGGCAAAATCAATAACCGTAACCGTGGTTCTGTTCTAAGTTTGTGTGGGGTCAATCGATGAGTCGATGAAAATTGAGTTTACTCCTTTCCTGAAATGCACTTTTGGATATCGATCGGTTCGTTTTTCGAGAGAACAATTAGAGACTGGCAAGTGCTCACAAAAAGTCGAAACATTTTGAGAACCTTTGCATGCACATCTGTGTGTATTTTGAAAGTGAGCAAATCGTGTTTTTCTACTAAAGGAGTTAAAATTATGGCGAATCAATAATGCTAGTTCCCATTTTCAACCAAACCTATATTTCTTCCGTTTGAGCCAGTATTCTTTTTTTCAATAAATATTTGGATAAATGTCAGAAAACTGAACCGATTCCGAATTTTCACACGATAACCGAAGAATGAATGGGCCGGTTTAATCCTAACATGATGGAATATCCCTAACTATTTCCTTTAGCTAGATGCGTATGGCAGAATTTAATCAGTTACCACGTGGTTTATAACACTCCCAACTCGCGTTGCTTGATGCGATAAGTGAAAACTGAAGCTTGGATGTCAGTCAAGGGGCAAAATAATTTGATATAGAATTCTCGAGCGATGCGGTCACGAATTAAGTGGAATAGTCTGTCTATAAACGTATTTCCTCTGCGGGATTGAACAGAAACTTTTCTGCAACAACACATAGTCTATCTAATGTTTACTTCGACACCACTGCACCAAGCTGGTGCGAGGAGACAAGTTCATGTACCAAGAAATGGTGATGTGCAGGTTTATATCAAACCCCAAGCTGTTGTAAAAACACATAAATGCCATCAGAAGAGTTAAGCCTAACATTCAAGCTCCAAGATTGACAGAACTTGTCTCACTCACAACAAAGGAGGCAGCTGAAATGCTGAAATGTCAGTACGGTCAAGTGTTCACCGCACCTGAGAATACCTGACTACGACTGCCTCTGTTACTTGAGGACATAGCATACCCAACGATCATCACAACTGACTGTTTCCCAGAAATCATAGCATTGAAATTGCAATGTTTGAAAATGAATTCATCTCCGGGGATAGACAATATCCACCCACAAACTCTTATCAATCTGGCAAGCAACTTAGTTTAACCATTAAGTGAATTATTCCAACAAATATTCGATAAAACTGTGCACCCACAAACATGGAAACAAGGAGTAATTTCTCCAATATACAAGAGTGGTTGTCGGAGTGACCCAGCTAACTACCACCACGGTACTCTCCTCCCCGTATTATCCAAAGTCATGAAATCCATTGTTACGTACAATTTGATGAGTTGCTTGGATCGTGTACCACTCACGTGCTTTGACCCGAGAAGAATGGACAAAAGAATCGGATCAAGGTGATGCAGTAGATGTCCTGTATCTCGACTTCTCCAAAGCACTCGACCGAGTAAACCACAAAACACTGCTGAGAAAACCACACAACTATGAAATTCGGAGACTTTTGGTGGGTTGGATAGAAGAGATTCTTCGACAACGCACCATGAGTTTTGCAAGCCAAATTNCAGCAAGTCACACGAGATTCCAATGCTTCTTAAGGTGGTTTCGTTGGGAACCAGTATATCATCCTCTAATGTTTTTCTCTGTGCTGACCACATAGTACCAGTGCAGCTGGGTACGTTGTGTCCGGCAATTGTAGTTTTCAGTGTGGTTCTGGGCCACTAAATTGACCTGTGCAGGACTTTACGTGGCGTGGAATATAAGAATTCGTGAACTGGACTCAACTTGATCAGGTCCGGGTGACCAATGACTTAATAAGCCGTTGAGTAAGTGAACATCGGAACGACACTCGTCTAATTGCATCTATTCACGTGACCCATTATCGAGATCACTAGTATTCCTGATTCGGTCTGGCATGTGACAGTCAGAAAATAAGATTTTATGATCTATTGTATACACCGTTTTGGCTCCGTTCTGAAGAAACCCTAAACAATTGTCATTGATCGATATCAGATTACTATGAGCGGTCCAATTCGGTTCATGCAAACATCCTGTCTACTATACCGATAGCTGAATCTGATAAAAGAGTGAAATAAGTAGGGTTATTGAAGGCACCCGGTGCTACAAATTCAATGCCAAATTGCTATAGCTATAGTTTTTTTTGCTGGTATACTGTTTGTGTGCCATCAATAATTGTCTTGATGCGTGGGTGTACTTATATGCCATGTTGATGGATCTCTGATAGCATACGCAAACTGTCAGTAGAGAAAACGACAAGTTTCATGATTTTGTCGCTTCAACGAGTAGTTAGTTATAGGCTTGACTGTTCCAATCCATTTACATTTCCACTGCGTAAAAACAATTTTGCTTCCCCTTCTTCGATTTGTGGTAGCTAGGGTTTCTCCAGCTTACATAAAGCTTTCAGTGAGTAAAATCCAACCACTCGGTTACTTGGACGTATGCCGTAACAGTTTCCTTCTTTCTCCATGCTTAGGTGCCCGAGTCTCTTTGACTGTGTCCAGTAAAACGGGTCACAAGTAAATGTTCTGCGAAGCGCTCAACAAGCTTTCCAAATTTTGTAGCTTGGTGAAAAGCCTACGGGTTGAAAATGGGTTGTTATCTGCAGGTGTTCAGTAGCACTATTCTCAATATGCAGAGCTGTGCTGATTCAAGCCATACGGATAACTTGGTGACAATTTTTACCTCATGTTTGTATTTTATCTTTGTATTTAAGTTTCGGCAACACTTGCTTGGAAAAAACCTCGATCAGTGTTTTTCCAATTGGAATAGAATTTTTCACACTATGAAACAAATAAAATAAATCAAATCAGCTCGTGTTCAATAACAGACAATCGCTAATGACTGCCAATTGGGTCATTCGTTGATATTTGTCCCAAAAATCCCCCTGTTTATTCTTTTTCCCTTTGTCAGATGATTTCTCTCCTTCCCAAACGAGTTCTCAAACTGCTGGAATTTGTTGGTTTCTCCGGCGATCGAGTGAGTACCATGATAAACAATTTTTCTTTGCTGATCCCCATACTCACTCAAATATTTATAAAAAAAATGTATTGCTTCATTTGACTGAACATCGTTCAGATTTCACCCTCCCGCACAATCCTCAGTTCTCATTGATTCAACTGTACACTCGGAAGCCCTAGACTCGAGTTTCGCTCTTATTAGAGCTCATCAGTAGTGCATATCTAATCAAGCCTTGTAGGCATGTGGCAAGTCAACCCGTAACCAGGATGGATGTCCTGACTTGGTGGAAGGATTTTGATTGGAGTTGACAGGTTATGTCTGTGTCTCCCTTTATTGCTATCGGGAACATGAACTGACCGGCTATCACTAAAGACAACATCTGAATAAACATGAATTGACAATTTGGNATGGAATGGGTCCGGAGTTTAAAGATCGGACGGGACGGTGGATATGCACTATTGATGAGCTCCAATAAGAGAGAAACTCGAGCCTAGTGCTTCCGGTTGCATGGTTGACTGGAAGAGCTGAGGATTGTGCGTGAAGGTGAAGTCCGAAGGATAGTCAGTCAAATCAATTAATACCAATTGCCCCGTACACACTACACACAAGTAACTGTGAATTAAATACGAAAATTTATTTTGTTGCTTATGTTTTTCATGTATCCAACAACCAGCCTCTAGTCCCTTTTCAAGAGCGAAAAATACTGCACCAGTAAAAGGAAGGAGGAAGAAAATCATAGACCCATCATTCTGTATGACCATTTGCTTGTTCACCGACCCATTGTAATTGGCTTATCATTACTTCTTCCCCATGATCATTGTCTTAGGGTGACAAAGTGTTCAAAAATCATTGTTTTGTTACTGGTAAAACTCGTGACGTATATCTATCGCTATTTACC